TAATAATGGTGTTATTAAGTATTTATCTTTGCAAGATTGATTGAACTTGCTAAGCATAATGTTCTTTAGTTTATGTCTTTCGATGTTTAATAGCATTGTCATTGTGTTTTATGGATGCATAATATTCCATTGTATAAATGTGCCAGACTCTGTCCATTCCTCTATAATAGGGGATGTTGCCGATTTCCACGTTTTTGCTGTTATGGAAATTTCTGCAATAAACACATGCGTATTTGTGCTATCTGTCTTTCCTTCAGCGTGCATTATACTCACTAGGGAGGTTGCTGGACCATAAGGGATTTGTGCGTGCATTTGGGTGAGGAAGTGCCATAGTGATTTTCTTAATGGTTGTACAATTCTACAGTCCCTCCACATGCTCTCCAGCATTCATTATTTTCCATTCTGTTGAATTTAGCTTATACCAAGGGCTCAAGTAGAAAGAAAATGTTTTGAAAATGATGATGGCAACTTATAGACAAATGTGTTCGATACCATTGATGTTTGGATTGTCATAAGAGATGTAAGAGCCACCAATAAAATGACTTATTAAAAAATCATTAAAATGGCAAAAAATGTGTCCGTGGGAGGTGACATGTCATTGTTTTTATTTGTATTTCTCTTATTGCTAACTACTGCAAACACTTCTTCATATGCTTGATAACTGCCTGGATGTCATCTTTGACACATTGTTTATTGGGTTATTTGTATTTTTCTTTTAAGATGTAGCGTTCTCTAGATGTTGGAGATGAGCCCTTTAGCTGATGTATTATTACTCAAAAATTTGTTCCAGTCTGTGGATTCTCTGTTAATCTTTTGATGAAGTCTTCTACCTTGTATTAGGGTCCTTACTTTTGTCCCTACAGTTTTCCTTGATGGTAGTTATAATTTTGTGATTTATATTTAGGTCTTTGGTCCATCTCGTGTTCATTTTTGTATAGGATGTGAGGTCTGAGTCCTGTTCCATTTTTTTGTAGGTAAAGATCCAGTTTTTTCCAGCACCATTTGTTGAAAAGGCTATCTCTTCCTCGTTTAGTATGTTTTGCTCCTTTATCAATGATTGTCTATTTGGTTGTATTTCTGAGTTCTCAATTCTAACCCATTGTTCTTCACATCTATCACTGTACCAGTGCCAAGCTGTTTTGATTACCATAACCTTATAGTTGATTTTGAAATCTGGGAGTGAAAGACTTCCAACTTTGTCTTTATTTTTAAATAGTTTTTTTTTAAACCCTGGGTTTAATTCTGAGTGATTCATTTGTCCATTTCTTTGAAAAACTATGATGGGATTTAAATGAGGATTGCATTGAGTTTGTGAAATAATTTTGGTAATAGTGACATTTTCATAATATTTAGCTTGTCTATTCTGGGACATGGTAGCTTCTTCTAGTTGTGTAAGTTTCTTTTGTTTCTTGTAGTTTGGTTTTGTACTTCACCTTGCTTAAGTCTTTTGTGTCTCTGGTCAGATTTAATCCTAATATTTTATCTTTTGTGTAGTAATTATAAACAGTATTATTCTTTAAATACCTTTTTCAGTATTATCCTCTTAAAACACAAGAACCCAACTTATCTATGTATGTTTATCTTATAACCTGCTACACTGCCAAAATTTTCAATCAATTGAAGCAATTTTTAATTGAATCTTTAGAATTATGTCTTTGGCAAACAAAGATATATTTTTATTTCTTCTGTGCTTATGTGGATACCTTAAATATTTCTTTTATGTCGTATGGCTCTCGCTAAAACTTCCAGGACAATATTAAATAAATGATCATAAAAGAAAACCTTGTCTAATTCTAGTTAGAAGAAGGAATGTTTTCAATTTCTCTCCACTAGGTGATATGTCGGCCATTGGTTTTGCATCTATGACTGTTATTATGCTCAGAAATTTTCCTTCTATTTTATTGAATATTTGTATCAGGAATGGATGTGTGCTTTATCAAATCTCATTTTGGATATAATCATATGGTTCTTCATTTTGCTTATGTGATTTTTTTCCCTAATATTAAAACACCCCCTTGCACATTTGGTATGAATCCCACTTCATTGTGACACATTATTTATTTATTTTTGTTTTGATGCTTTGTTGAGTTCAGCTGGCTAGGATTTTTTTTTTAAATCAATTTATTGGGGCTCATACAATTCATCACAATACATAGATCAATTGTGTAAAGCACATCTA